CAACTTTTGTTCTTAAAAAACAATAAAAACCTTTATTTATTGTAAGTTTCACAATGACAAATTTCTAACCTAAAATATATTAGAGGTTTCAATTATGCCAAGTATGTTTTCCTGAAGATAATGTCATGTAAATACAATACAATTTTACATTTGTATTCTGTGCTTCATAAGCTGAATGACTAAATAACAGCAAATTAAATTATATTAGAATTTGAAAGGACATCAGAAATGATTTTGTACATGCATATATTAAATAAGTGGTATGTCCAAGACAGGAAAGGTCACAAAGAATTATGAACATATACTGTCAGAGGTGTATGCTGATTTTATCCTGCTGGGCAGGTGAACTCCACAACAATCTCTCTCTCCCCTCCCCTCCCTAAAGGGCAAGTGGGGAGAAAAGAGGATGAAAAGGGCTTTAGGGTTGAGATAAGGACAGGGAGATCACCCAGCACATCATTGGCAAAACAAACTCAGCATAGGGAGATTAATATAATTTATTGCCTATCACTACTAGACTACAGCAGTGAGAAACTAAAAGCAAACTAAAACCACCTTCCCCCTATCCACCCTCCTCCCCCCGAGTGGCAAAGGGGAATGAGGACTTCGGGCTACAGTCAGTCCCTAGTGCTTCGTCTCCGCCACTCCCTTACGGTCACTCTTTGCCCTGCTCCACGTGGGGTCCCTCCCACGGGATGCCATCCTTCCCGAACTGAGCCTGTGGGGGCTGCCCACAGGCAGCATCTCTTCAAGAACACAGCTCTGTACCACGGGGTCCATCCCCCCAGAGCAAACTGCTCCAGCACTGGTCTCCCACAGGCGGCAGCTCCCCCCAGACCCGTTGCTCCTGCATGGGCTCCTCTCCACGAGCTGCAGCACCTCCTGCCCTCCTTCTGCACTGACCTTGGCATCCGTAGGGCTGGTGGGCTGGTTCTCATTTCTCACTCTCCTAGCTGCTGTTGCACAGCTGTTTTTTGTTTGTTTGTTTGTTTGTTTGTTTGTTTGTTTGTTTGTTTTCCCCTTTCTTCTTTCTTAAATCTGCTCTCCGAAAGGCCCAACCAGCATTGCTCCCTGTCTCAGCTCTGACCAACAGGTCCATTTTGGTGCCTGCTGGAGCTGGCTTTGATCTGCCATGGGACAGCTGCTGGGCTCTGCTGACAGAGGCCACCTCTGCAGCACCCTGCTACCAGACCCTTGTCACATATACCCAATGCAAGGTGTTAGCTGAATAGGAACATTTTTTAATGTATAAAATGACTTCAGACAAAATGAACCAAGAGTATTACAGAAATCTTGACCACTACAATACCTGAAAAGGAGTCCATGTTTAATCAATTTGCACACCTACTCTACATTAAGATTAATTTCTAAGTATGGAACAAAGGATATGAAAGTCACTCACGCAAAGAGGTATAGTATGGATTTGATATTGTTAATTACTGTATATCTTTGAGGGAAATAAGAGGACTAAAAACACTCAAGCCACACAGTTAACTACATCTGTAAACGAGATTTGATCTAGTTCATGAAAACAAATTTCAAGTATGAAATTCTTGAAGCAAAGTTGTGGTTACCTCAGACTGTTCAAATAAACTATATTAAATAGCCATAAAAGATATCCCAAGACATTCTAGTGAAATACTTTGGGCTACATGTGAAATTTGTTTTCTGTAATTATCAATTGTTCTTCAGTTTAGTGGTAATGAAATTTGACCCCGTTCAGATATCTGTGATTAACATTGCATAGTAAACACTTGTTAGAAATAATATACTTTTACATTTGTAATACCTTTCACTTGTGATATAAGCTTAGTTTTGTGCTGTGATATTCAGTAATTTTTCATCATAGAAGAAAACCTACAAAACAGGAGGAGGACTAAGTACAGAACAGAGAGCTTTCAGAAATACTTCCATGTGTAACCACACTACTTCTTTAAATTGATGCATGGTTTGTTCTTTAAAACAGTAAATAAAATACACCTCTGAATCTGAAAACAAACAAACAAATCAAGACTGAATATAATTAAAAGTTAAAAAAAAAAAAATCTGTCTCCATAATTTTACTACATTAACCAGTAGTAAAAGTTAATATATTTCTATTAAAGTTTTCTGTTCATTTTTGGATATACAGAAGTTCAGGAAGAATTTTGTTCATGTGAATCAATACATAGTCAAAACTGCAGAAAATCCAGACAGTTGTTGTCAGTATTGATTTTAAGGTGTCTTTTTACAACTGAGAGGTTTTTAATGTCATTTTTTTTTCCTGTTTTCAAAGATCAATTAGAAATGTAATCCCTCTTAAACATTAAAATTGGCTCCTAAAAATTAATTTAAGAACTGAAAAAGATGGCTTTCAGTACTCCGCATGTCATTGAGCTGGATTCATTACTGTAATTTTTACACTCCATTTTCACATCAGTGCAAGTCCATTGAGATTTCCATTCTAAAACTGGAACAGTAAGTCAGAGCAGTAAGTCAGGTCTCTTATAGTGAAATAATAAATGTCCAGTCAGAAATCTCTGGAGAGTGCAAGATGACTGATCTTTAAATAAGTCTTCCATGGTAGGTTATATAGAACACATTTATAGCCCAAGACCTCAGGGGTTTCCTTTCTCCTAACTTGACCTCATTTTTTTCAGATAAAATGTCATTCTGTAATCAGTTCATTGAGTGTCTAAATGCTGGGATGAAATTTATAAGCTTTTCAATAGAACCTACATGTTTTGTTCATCAGAGTTAGAATTTTCTGGTGATTGCTTTGTGGCAGCTTACCTTGTCATCCTTCTAGGCTAAAATTCATGACTGAAGCTTAGCTGATTTCCACCTGCTCACCAGTCCATTTTGTATTCCTTTTGTCAAAAATTCCTTCGTGCCATGACCTGTCTTTTTTTTTTTTTTTTTTTTTTTTTTCCCCAGAACACTCTTTTTTTTTTTTTTTTTCTTCTGTAAGCATGTCTTGTGGTGGTGTTTTTTCTTGTTTATTTTAAAGGCCTGTAACTCTTTTAAAAGACTGTAATGCATGCCAGCTACACTAACAATACTAGGTTGTGGGGAGAAAAAAAAAAAGCATCTGAAACATCAAAGTTATGACAAAAACTGTCCTCCAAGATACTTTTTGGGCTTCTTTACAATGATGTTTTACTGTCAGGTGAGCTAGGATTTAGATATAGGTAGCACTCATCTAAGCAACTCCTAGCATGAAGTTTTGTGGGGAGAAAAGAGGGGAAAGAAATAAGGGTTTACTGTCAAGCAGGTATCTTCTTCACTTTGCTTCTGTTCTCTTTCCTAGTGCAATGCCAAAGTCCTTCAGGAAACACTGATAGTAACAAGGAAATATGTTTTCAGCTGTGCACAGAAATTGAGAAATGGCAACACCAGGCAGCATGAGATAAGCATAACGAGGAAGTCAGTAGCCTTCTATATGTCTGTCATTGACCTGCACAGACCTATCAACACTTCACTGCTGTGCCTAGGCTACTAGCAATATGACCTGTGGTCTTGGCCCATCCCAGTCCTCCTTCTTCTTTAATTCACATGGGGATTACACCCATTTTAGGAGACTGTAACTGAAAGTTGTTTTTCTATTGAATTTGATATGTATATATTTTTTAATTTGAAAAACACTATTGTGATTTGCAAAAGGCACTACTTCTGAAGTGAAAAGTCAAATGCTGATTGTAGAACAAAATTGTTAAATATTGTTATGGTAGCTATACTTGTGGGGACAAATAGACTCAAAAGATCACCTGAGCAAGATTTAATCAAAGGATATAGATGAATAAAACAGTTTATATTTCAAGTGCAGATGGCAAACAACTCAAATTCATCTAGTATACAGAAACACACCCAACAGATCTAATGGATATATAACTAGCTGCAGATGGAGGACCCTATGTGTGACAATAGCATGGGAGTATTTCAGATCCACGGGCATGTACATTTTTCTTAACTGTAACTAATTAGTAAATAAGAGTGGAAAAGTATTTCAGTAAAGGACTTTGGCTGTGAGATGAATAAAATAAATAAAAATTATATGGCTAGAGGGTCTGTTCTGCACTAGCATCCTTAAAAGGCCACTTCCTTCATTTACTGTTTCTGCAAATGTTAAATAAATAGCTGAGGTGTCTTGACTCTACTGTGTTGGTAGTAACTTTTTTTTTCCATTCAGACTGTCATTTATCCTGTTGGACTGTTAAAATCTTTAGAGGAAAGATTTTTGTTATTCTGTATGTATCTCATCACATGCTCTGTAGCTAACCAAATATAAATAACTCTAAAATCCAGTGTTCTAGGATTATTCTAATGCTTCAGGCTGCTTATGTGTTTTTGGTTCTAGCATCTATTAAAATAAATAACATGATCTTCCGTCTGACTGGACTAAATAAAAGGCCTTCCTTGCTTTAATCTGTAGTTTTTTTGTGTGTAAAGCAAATCATAGGCTATAGACTAGCAACCATGGAAACTGAAATCCTTTGACTATAAAATTGCCTGGGTATTGCCTACACAGGCTTTAACACAAATAGGTTGTCAACATGCTTACTTATTCTCTGGCCTCTGGGTTGCAATCAGTAATTTAGATTTCCAACCGTGTAATCACCATTCATTGTGTTATACCTCCCTGCTATCCCATTTCATTCACAGAACATACCTATGAAAGCTTTTTGATTTGCCAAGTTAGAAATCTACTCAGTCTTGTGGAACAATATTTTCATCTTTGAGTTCATAATGTAAGATGAAACACTTCTTAGGGATTCCTAAATTCAGTCCTCAGACATAGCCAAAGTAGCAGACATCCTTTTTCCAAGTGTGAAGGATTTTCCTTTGTTTTCTTAGCAACATCAGTGAATATAGATATTAGATTGCCATTATAATATACTATAGTTTAGTATATATATAGTATATATAGTTATATGTATAGTATATATAGTTATATATAGTAACTAATGTATTGAACTCCAAAAATATCTTTTAAAAAGGATAATTCCAGTGACTAAATCTATTCTATGCTATTGTGTTTGAAGCTACGCTCTTTTATTCTGATATTTTCAGAAGGCTTTGGAAGGCTGTGGAAGTCCTGCAAATATCAACTCCCCCGTCCCCCCCTTGTCCTTTGTTTTCAATTTACTTGACTGCAGATCTTTAACACAAACACTTTTTTTTTTTCTTTTTTTAACTGCATTTTCTCTTTTCCCTTCAGGTATTTGTGTGGTTTGTGTGGGGGTAACATGAAAAATCAAAGAACAGAAAAATAGAACTAGACTGATAGAACAGGGAGCTCAGTATCCTTCCACTTGAGTTCTTCTGGGTAAAAGCACTCTAACATGTGGAAGACTCAACTCTAATTCACCCTTCTGCTTCTCAGCCTCCGATTACAAGGTATTATAGAAAAAGCACTTTTGATCTCTTCTGTGACAATGTTATGCTTCACGTGAGAAAAACAACACTGGAGAAATGACTGGCAGTGGAACCTACAGTCCTGAGGAATTGCTCTGTCTTCCAGGAATACTTGGCATTTTTGCAGATAGGGACAGATTCAACTGATTCAACAGATTCAATCATGTCACACAGGAATGTGTCAGGCAGGGTTTGTATATCTACAGAGAAGGAGACTCCAAAACTGTCCTGGGCAGCCTGTTCCAGTGTTCTGTTACCCTCACCATGAAAAAGTTTCACCTCATATTTAAGCAGAACCTTCTATATCCCAGCTTGCACCTTTGCCCCTTGTCCTATCATTAGATGTCACTGAGAAGAGAGCTCAGCCACCATGGTGAGCAGACCTTCCACCTGAGAACAGGAGGTCTCCCAGCTGCCCTCCTCCCCTGGCAGCAGCAGGCTCAGGCACTCCCTGCAGCCAGAGGCCTGAACAGCCATATCTCTATCTATACTATGGAACAATATGGATGACAGAATGTAATTTATTAAGCAGTTACTGCACTAAATAATTTAACAAATTAATTTAAAAGAAGAGTGTTCTTCATGACAATGTGCTTATTTATTTATTTGGTTTACTGGAAGTATTCTGGTGTGGTGAAAGAAAGGAAGCTCTGAAACTACATGCAATCCTTGTTTGGCAATGTACATCCTGAGTTTCACAGAGTGGATAATTTTCGTCCCATGCTTGCAGTGTAAGAACAATATGTTGTGTTTAAGTATTTAGATTTTTCACATAAGAGCAAAAGAGGTAACAGCAAATGGATTGTAACATAAATGTTCCTGTTTCATCCATGATATGAAAACTATGCACAGCTTGCTGGTGGAGTGACACAACAGAAGTGAGAGTAAAATACTTTTTCCCTGACTGTAACCTTGAATTACATTCCTAGATGGTAAGAGGTAAACCAAACTTCCTTGTGAGGAAAGTGAGAGCAGTCCTGTTTTTCCCCCTTCTGCTGGTGGTGGGTGGGGGCTTCAGGGGCAGCTGTGTGAGGGAAGATGGGGGCTAGTTCCAATTGGTTCCTGCCAGCTCCAGAGTCCCCACTGCAGGGCACAGCTGAGCCTATTACACTGAGGGGAAGCGTATTTAAGAAGAGAGAAAAAAAAAAAAAAAAAAGGCAAGAGAAACAACTCAGTGAGCACCGAAGTTAGACAAGAAGGAGCAGCCTGTGAAGGAGACTGCAGCAAGGCAGGTATTGCATGGTCCCCTGCAGCCTGTGGACCATGCTGGAGCACACATGCACTCAGCAGCCTATGCTATGATCCACACTGGAAGCAGGAGAAAAGTGTGGGGAGGAAGGAGGAAAAAGAGAGGAGCTACTGCGGATTGACCATAAACCCCCCTTCTGCATCTGGCTGTTCTGCTTGGAGAGGAGGAGGTAGAGGAGACAGAAATGGAGGAGTGAAATTGAGCCTTGGTGGTGGAGTATTGTTCTAATGTTTTTGTGTTTGTTTCTGACTACACAACACTATTTTAATTAGCGCTATTTTTTTTTTTTTTCCAGGTTGAGTTGTTCTGCCTGTGACGGTAACTGGTAAATTTTCACCTGGTCTTTATATCAACCTGTGAGTTATATCCCCTTGTCCTGTTGAGAAGGGAGTGGATGGATGACTCGCCAAGGCTAACTTACCACATCTCTATTAATTGTAACCCCATATTGGTTTAAAAGTCATGTTATCTTAGATAATCAAAACTAGATGCACTTCAGCTGTATCTGAGAAGAAAACTCAGAAATGAGCACACGGTGAGATCACATGGATGAATGGGAGAGATTTGTAAAAATTTTGGTTTTGTTCTTTTCTTGAAAAGTTTCTGATAATATAATATGTGGTTAAATTACTAAGTACTTAAAAAAAAATAGCCCAAAAGTTGGATGGAAGACAAGTATACTTATATTTTTATGAGCAAAAGTAGTGCACTGATGTTAAAAACTGGCATGTTATCTTCTTAAATTGTGATCAATTAGTTATTTTTCATAAAGTAATCTAGAAATAGCAAGCTAGTTAGTCAGTGTTAAGACAGATTTCCGTCTCTGATGATTCATTTACATAGAAGTAAAATATTGAGATGCAATGATGTGTCAAGATTAATGCAGAACAATATCTTATTCTAGGAACATCAGATATTTATCCCTAGGTAAGGTAGATTGGTTTGCTAATTTCAAATTAACCTCCTCTGCCCTGGCCATAAATTTTGAGCATGGTGCTTTCTAAATTAATGCTGAGTTAGGTGCTATTCTGATGCTGCATAGGAAGAGCGAGAACAGGATTTTGATGTATAGTTCATCAGGAACTCTCCAAGGGCTGCACTGAGTGCAACAGATAAGGACTTTTAACTATGTTATCGATGTGCTGTACTACTGTCCCAAAAGTTGTCAGTGGTTAAGTCTTTGGGACAGACAGCATGGAATGAAAATACTGCCTTTTGATGTGCTGAAATGAAAGGCTGCTACTCCTTAGGACAATGATTAGTGTAATGCAAGTGATTGAAATTTTGATCCTGAATACTGGTAAGGACGTCTCCACCAAGCATATTTAATGAGTGCTATGATCTTTACCTGACCTGCAGCAACTTTCCTCTGTAAGGGAAAAAAAAAAAGTAAATAATGATGAGTTAATAGCAGGAAATGTTTTTTTTCAAAACAAGTATATTTTCAGTTTAAGGAGGTTAGTGGTTGTTAAGCAGTCAGTTTTAGGATTTTGTTATAGCAGTTATAGTGTCTGAAAAAAAAAAGCTCCAATTATTGAACAGAGCTGACAGATTTTTGCTTATCCTTTTAGATTTAGAATTTTGCTTTAAAACAAGCTAAGCAAGTACTGTAATTCTGTTTTGTATTTTCTGATTTGGTCTTAATGAGTCGCTGTTACAAACAAATTCAGTTTAGAAACAAAAATCAGATGTTGACGCCAGCAGATGCAGAAATATGGTGTATAATAGTTCCTCATATATTTCTAGTTTTTGGACTACTGGTGCTTTCGGAAAGCTGTAGTTAACTTAAATGAAGTGAAAGAAAACCCTCTTCTGTCCAAAGCATTTCATAAATTTTAAGTGGTTTCTCACATAATGCTTCTGCAATATGTTGCAATGCCTGCTTTAAAATTCTAATTCTACTCTATTCTTCTGTTCCTTCATTGGGATAAGCCTATTGATGTCAATAGTGTTACCTGTAAAAGGACTGCAGGTGATGTTAGGTAAAGTAAGTCATTAATAAATTTCTGTTTCAGTTGCCCTAAGTCTTTGGGAAACTCATATGTAGAATTTTTATTTTTTTTCTTTGTGGAGCAAGCAATGTATATTTTTAAGTCTGAAAGGAGTTTTACATGTTTTAATAACTTATACATTTTTGTCTAGGGAGTAGGAAATACTAAATACAGAGTTGAGAAAAAGGCTTTTAACATAGTGCCACCTTACTTTGGTCACCATAACTTTGCAAAATTTTTCTTCTTTCTGTCATGCAAATCTCAGGAAACTAGAATCAGTTATGTGTATGTAAAGAAACTAAAGAGACTTCTCAAAAGCAAATTTGGAGCATGAGATTTTTAAAATAGAAATAGCTTATCACGGTGCCTGTCTAAATCAGGAGATATTACCTGCACCTCCTTGGGATTCAGGACTGAAGTTTGTTCATGGATCTTTGCTTAAAGTCAGATTAATTGACCTTCCAAGTGCAACAGGAGAAAGCTCATTACAGTAAATACAGGTAAATCTTAGAGCCACTGGGATATAATGGGAGATGTTTGGTCTCGAATTCTTTCATACGCAAATCAAACCCGTATTTGTTAAGAATGTGATCTACAAGCATATAGGAGAATTTGGGGAAGATGACTCGTTCTCATCTTGTGAAGTATTTTTTTATAGTAGATAAGAGTATCTTCAATTACTGCTGAGATATGAAATTGTCTAGGTGGTTCCTGCCTTACCCTTTTTCTTATGTGAATGCTATTGCTAGTGGGTAACAGTCTCTCTTACTGTAGCCAAATGAATATTGCATTATTCCATGAAAAATGGAAGAATTTTTGAGGGAAAAATAAAAGCCTTAAGCTAGAATAACTTATATCTGGGGGTAGACTTGGTTTAAGCTGCTTCACATAAATGAATATCTTAAGTTCCCAAGCTCCAACAGGCCAGGTGACTGTCAGGCCTACTCTTTGTTGACCTTTCAGTTGAACTAGAACTTGGTTACACCCCTTAACATGAGATAAACAGGGAAGTAGTTATTTTCATAGATATATTGAAGCTCAGCCATAAGTTAACCAGAAAGGTGATGCGTTCAGGCCTTAGTGCAGAAAAACTGTTAGCAGACATCGGTAGTAGAAATGTATGTTTTATGATTAGGCATCTGCACAAGTGTGTAGCTGCTAATTAACTTCCTAAAGTAAACCATATTAAGTGGATGTTGTGAGAATGGGTAGATTGGTAGGAAGCTAGTAAGAATGCACAAGTAAGAATATACTACATAAATATCTCAGATGACTTGTGTATGGTGTATTGGATAATTTTTAAAGCATATTTTTATAAACTTAAAAGAACTTGAAAGAATAGCATCCATTTCCTGCATCAAGAATCACAAAATGGTTTGGGTTGGAAGCGACCATAAAGATCACCTAATTCCAGCCCCCCTGCCATGGGCAGGGACGCCTCCTACCAGACCAGGTTGCCCAAAGCCCCATCCAGCCCGGCCTTGAACACCTCCGGGGATGGGGCATCCACAGCTTCTCTGAGCAACCTGTTACAGTGCTTCACCACCTTCATAGTAAATAATTTGCTTCTAATCTCTAAGACATAATTTTGAAGTTTTATATTAAAGTAGATCACTCTAATTCTTTGAGTGATTAAACTACATGGAATCTACTCACTTAGAATTAAAGTGAATTGAAAATACTGGGCTGTGTAGATAGGTTTCAGGCTGAACGGTTCTTTTTTTTAATGAGAAATACCACTTGGACAAACATTTTTTTGATAGGAATGGAGAACCTTTTTATTTTTATTTTTTTTTTAAAAAAGCTCAGATTAGAAAGAAATATAAAACATTTTCCTTTGCTTCTGGAATTCAAGCTACTTAGGAAGTTATTGGCCGTGAATTCCATTTTTGTGTAAAGCTTATTTAGACCATAAAACTCCAAGGCTCTTATGTTCTCTGAACTGAAACAGAAAGACAATGGAAACTGAGGTTAAGTGAGAATGATGATGTGGTACCACTAATCTACTGAGGAGGGTTCTAAAGCTAGGACTACACGGAAGGCACTGACTTCAAATGGAAAAATACCAAACAGGTTTCCTGTCCAGATTTTTTTGTATCAGCAAAGATCCTTTAACAAAACTGAAACTCTAAAAACAAAGGGCTCCTCTTCTTTGTTCAATAATATACATTAAAAACAGAGTTGATTCAGAGCTGAAATAGTCTTAATATGCAGGACTCGTTCTGGTTTCTCTGAGTGAAAGGTCAGGCTGCAGGCAAACAGGTTTTTTTTCCTGCCTTCTCTGATTATTCAGGTAGCTGGTAAGTTGTACTGGAAAATATCTTGTCTAATCGTAATGTTTAGAACTATTTTGTTCAGACAACTCAAAGGGAAAATGGGTACCTAATGTTTAGTACTTCTGTGACAAAACATTTATCAAATCTCTTTTTCTGGGGACTTCAAAAAGTTTTATTTATTAGTGTAGCTTGCCGCAGCTTGCACTGAATTTATATGTATACATACGTGTATTTTATAATCTGTTAATAAGGGAGCATAGAGAACTTGTGAAGAAAGAACCAGAACAAGCAAGGGGGTAATTAGTCAGCAGAGGAGTCCCTGTATATCGTAGCCATCTTATGCCTGCATGTGGCAGCATCAGAACACAAAATAAACATCAAGAAAGTAAAGTATAAACATAAACGAAAGTAAGAACTGAATGGGCACATGGTTCATTTGTCTATTTTGCACTGGTGTCCTTATGAGTGAGGATTCTGCCATGTATCATCTGTTCACAATCGCCGCAGACAGCTCTCCCGTTGTTTCAGAGCATTTGAGAGTGCACCGTTAAGCACAGCACCAATAGTACGTCATCTGGGACTGCAGCTGTTATCCAGAGAGGAGTCAGAAAGGAAGATGAGGAGAGGAGTAAATCAAAAGCAGCCTGCCCTTGGCACTTTTTATATGACGCTCATTTCTCTTTTCTACAAATTTTAGCATTTATGGGAATGCAGAGGATTATCTAAAGTACAGAGGTCCCGTAAGCACACTGCCAGTGGGACATACATGTACATACTAGAGTGTTCAGGTTCGAGTTTAGTCAAGTCATGTCATTCAGTCAATGTTGCAGCTGACAATGCAATGCTTATAGGATCAATAGAAAACTGTCTGGTTTCACAATGGGAGACATTTGCAAAGATAGAATGATTCTGATCAACTGCTTTTAACGCAGAGAGAAATCCCCATTCTTTCACTTTCCTGCATCTGGCTGCTTACAAGGAGGCACACTGTTCCCTGTGTCTGCACCTAAACTGAGAAATATAATGAAGGTTCACTTGGATATGGACACAACTCTTACGGACTGTTTGGATGGCTTCCTTTAGAAGCTACAGAGGTAGACCTCAGTGGCAAAACTATTGACAAAATGTAGACTCTTTCTTTATTTTTTCTTTTCTGCACAATGTATCCGAAAGAAACCTTTCTTATTATTCTTCAAGTTCCTTGCCAAATTCAGCTCCAACTGTGCCTTAGCTTTCCTGATCCCATTCCTACACACCTGGTTATAATATTCCTAGTATACATGTCCCTGCTTCTGCTGTCCATGCATTTCTGCCTATGCTGCTCTGCTTGATATATTATTCTTTATCAAAAACTAAACTCATTTTAGAATTAGAAATGTGATAATATCCATGTACCTAGTTATAGTCTTACAACAGTGCTACATGCCTTAGAGAAAGTGGTAAGAGGACCTGCTGAGTCAGGTGATCAATGATTCAGTGAAGTCATGCTTAGCTTTGTTGTATGTTAAGTAATACCTAATCAAATGCTGTGTTCATCACTTCTTCACTGTATTTCTTAAGGGTACTTTGGTTCCAAGTTGAAGAAGCAAAATTTTTATAACTGATCTTGATTTCTTTCCCTTGATGCGATGAATTGGCTGAAGTGTTTTCCAAGGGTAATGTATCTATGTATTTCATGAGTAGCTGCAGGTCTTTGATTGTCTGACCAAGACTCCAAAACATCTTCTTATCTGACATTTACTGCAGAAAATAAGTATAGTTTAAATGGATGAAACATATGATCTGCTGACTAATGGTGATAGAGGCTATTGCTGCAAGTAGCTAGGCATTAGCAAGATGTAGTTTAGTTATAGTGCTATAATTTCTGTTTCATCCAGGTGTGATGAGCTGGAAGAGATGTGTATATTGGAAGCATATATTTAAAGATTATGAAGTATTTCAAAATTAAATGTCATTGGATAAAAAAGTGTTCATTAAACATACTGGAAGTGATAATGTAAAATTAGTGAATTTAAATGTTATCTCTAGAAAGTTTGAGGAAACTATTTGTGTTCTCAAAATATGAGATAAAAGTTATAAGGGGACGAAGTTGTAAATTATATATAAATTATTCTCAACTGTGGATTCAGTGAACATCCAGCCTTAATGGTAGTGTATGAAGTTTCTGATGTTTATGATAGGTAAATGTTACAAATCCTCCTTCTCTTTGTGTCTACAATGCAAATTGCTTTAGGCCAGAGGAAATTCACATGTCAAATAACATTGCCATCCTTTTATTAAAAAAAATAAAATCTTTCAGAAATGTATTTATAGAGATTGAGTGAAATCCCAATGAAAGGAAGTGTAGTATCTGCTACTCCTTGGGGTGGACATAAGAAACTGTTCTTGTATATATACCAATAACTGCAGAAAACTGGCGACCTTAATTCATGGACACAAGTGCATGGAACAGTTTCGGTAGGAAATACTATTCTTGAGGGGAATAGTGTGAGAAATGGCCTTTTTTTTTTTAATAAAACATCAAAAAACAACAACAACAAAAAAACACTTTAGAGTGCTGGAGAGATCAAGAAAGTGCCAGTTGCAACCACAGGAGAGCTAGCAGTATGGCCCTGAAATAAAACAATTAAAAAATGGTGTGTATGTAATGGGCTTTTTGGCCATTTGCTGGTTGGTTAATAGTTTGGGATTTATAAACTGTAGGAAACTGCCTTTAGAGATTTTTTGATGTTTTCAGGAAAATCAGGACTTTGTACACTGTTTTAAAGGAAATAGAACTACTTCACAGATGTCTGATACCATCAACAGTTTCTCCTTGGTAACAGAAACAACCAGTTTGCCTCTAAATTTTGGCTAAGAGCCCAGGTAAGAAAAGGAAAGCTTCATTTTATTTGGTGCCCTTAGAGAAGAAAGACAAGCTTTAAGGCATGCTTTGGAGATGTAACAAATGTGGGCTTTAGTGGGTTACTGTAGAAAGTGAGTTCTAAAAATCAAGAAGCATCCCAACACCGTCCACAGCACCATCTCATTTAGGCTGAGTGATCTCTGGGGTATCTCTGATCATAACTGGGGCATGAAATTTTAAGACAAAGAGTTAATGATACCCCCTAATATTCCAATCACAAAATGTCTTGAGCTTTTTAGATTGAAAGCAGCAGTGCACTTTAATCTGAATTTGCTTTATGTATTTACAGGTAAAGAGTTTATTCACTGCTGGAGGGGGAAAAGGAATCTAACAGAGACAAAAAAGAAAGAAACAAATATTCACACAGCTGATGATATTTCATCTAAATGTGACTGGAAACAAAGGACAAAACCTTTGGTTCATAATACGCAGATTGATCAAAATCTATTGAAGTTGAAAGCAGTAGACTATACAGAGATATAAACAATATTTTCTTACAGTTTATTTGGAATTGCATTTTGTAAGCAGAAAAAGCAGTGTAAAAGGAAGCAGGGCAGTCAGGCAGAACAAGCACCCTGGAATTTTCAAATAGTAATAAAAAATGACTAGAATTGCTATTTACAGAAATAAAAGCCTCTGTTTTCAAAATAACTTTTTTTCCTCAGCCATAGATATTTGAACAGTTTAATAAATGTGGTATTCAAGTGGCAGATACATGCCATTTCATCTTGACTATATTAAGGCTCAGTTTGTACATTTATCAAGATGTTATCTGTCTGGCAAAATGGATCTTCAACTATTGACTATAGAAAGCTATAAAAAATAATATTAAATTGGCTTATTAGCTAATGCCCCCGGTTAACAAAAGCATGACAGAAATAACAGCTTCCTTAGTCACTGTTGCTACAACTGGGTAGTTAAAGCAGGAAGTGGTGATATTGCAGCTTCTGTACAAACACACCAAAAGGAGCGTGGAAATGCTCACAGTGACTACTAAATAATTACAGTGTGGCTCTGCTTTTACTGCACATCAGCTGCTGGCATGTTTTTGTACAGCTGCGTGTCAGCTTTCACTCTTAAATGTATACACATAAGTGAAAAAAGTTTTCACACTTACAAACAGAAAGTTTGTTTCTATTTTTTCCAAATGTGATCCTTCACTGGGTTTAACGGGAATTTTTCATTAAATCCACAGGAAACACATTACCATCCCTTCTCCATCAAGCTTAGCTCTTCCCAGTTCTTGTTACTTGATGGAGTGTTGTCAGTGCGACTGACATTATAGAAACACTCTTCCTATCTTTGCAACTTAACTTAGAGTTATTGAATGCTTAATTCCATTTAATGGTAATGGCAGTTACTCCATCTAATGCTGATTATAATGCTTTCAAGTATAACTCTCTTTACAATTACTAATGACTAATTTAGGTTAATCAACCTCTAATATTTCCTGTTGTGCTTGATGTTTCTAGCATGCTTTTTGAGTGGAGGAAAAGGAAAAACAATGCTTGGAGTTCCTGCATAAAAATGTTGTAGTAATGTCATTATGCTGGATTATATGGTGCTGAGGAGAAAAATGGCTACGTTAGGTTTAGTTATGGCAATGAATTTGGCTTGTAAGTTTTTTTGTCATTTTGTTAAAACAATCCAAAGGAAATAAAATGTTGTTCATGTAATTAATTCAGTATAGGATTCTTCTGGATCTCCTCTTTTGAGGCTGGTCATAGATAAGCTGGGACTGGGCTGAATATATAGGATGGGTTCTGGAAGAAAGGGAGCAATACTGGAAGTAGCACCTGTGGTGTGGTTAAGATGGCTGAATAAGAACTTAAAGAGCAAAGGTGCCCTACCCCATCTCTTATGAGGCAAGAAGGGACAGCAGTATGACATTCAAAAGTAATATGAAGATTAAAAAAATGGTATCAGGATGTCAGTGTAAATACTGATACTTAGAATAGTGATTAGCATTGAGAGAAGTAGAGATGTGATTAATATCAGAACTTTAGATACAGGAAAAGTAAGTTGGAATCTGCATGAAAAAATACAACCAATTCAATTGTCACCAGAACTGATGTAAATAGAAGTGAGGTAGTTGAGGAAATGTCAAATTAAAAATAACATAAACGAAGAAGCTGAGAGCACGTAGTGTAGCAGATAGTAGTGCATCACTGTTTAAAATATTAAGTATGCATGGCATATTTAATATTAAGTAAAAATACACTATTTTATTCTAGTCCCTTTTTGCATTCTGTAGTTTGTAAGTGAGAAATTGTGGAGGACACCATTGCTGAATTGCTGTACCTGGTTGAAGCATACACATTTTCATGCCTGCAGAAACATTGTTAGTACTTAAATGCCACTATGTAAAGTATTTGGCTGTCAATTTTAGAAGTAAATAAATATGTTAATATCTGAACTTAACTCTCTCTGCATTTTGTAGTGGATCTGCTCGAGAAAAACAAGGCTCTGCTACCTGTACTTTGTTCTGAAGGAGTGCTTGACGCCTCCTATGAAAAGAAGTCAAAATAAGGTCTGAAGCCTTTGCATCATAACCTTGTTGACATTATGAAGTTGATTTAAATGTTTAGCATTCATCACAAAAAGATTTTTTTAAGGGTTGAGGAAAAAAGGCTAGGTCTCTTGCAGTTCAGGAGCAGAACTCTACAACTCAATTTCATGAGGATGCTGTAAGTCACTGTTAACACAGTTGAACTTTCTATAATTAGCTGTTATCTCTTTGCTAGAGGGAGAAAATAATCAGTTTTATGTATTAGATGATATTTTGAGGAGTTTTTCTGCTTAGGTATATAGCATATTACATTTTTTCCCTTGATTCTCTTGATATATTTGTCCAAGGCATCTGATAACCAGTGTCTTTTTTTTTTTTTTTTTAAAAATTTTTAAAGTAAGTGAAGTCATTCAGAATGACTAACATTCTAAATTCTCTTCTGAGTTTAGTCTAAAGTAGAAGGTCTACACATTGTGGAATTTGAATGTGAGTTTTGTTCTGAAACAATTTTAACGCACCGTTAAAGATATTTGTCATACTGTATTTTAAGTTAAGCAGTGGGAGGACTTATTTTTTAAAATCTTTGGATAACTTACTTTTTTTTGGTCACTTTTTATGGAAATTGAGGCAAGTTCAGAAATTAAAAGATTGGGGTATTAAACAGTTTTCCAGACTGGATCAATCGTTGCTTACTATGAAATACTCCAAAATATGCTTTCCGAAGTTTAAAGTTAAGATTCTTTAATTAAAACAGAGTTTACTTTTCCCTGTTTTTGCCTTTTTCTGAATACCTTTAAAAAACATTTGTTGACTTCAGAAATCATATTTCTAACATACCAATATTTTATATGACAGTTGTAGTTCCTTGTGCTGAAATATAGATTATACTAACCAATTACTATTAATCTTTGTTCTATTTCTCATCTAATCTAATACTCGTAAAATGTAACATGTATAAACTAATATAGGCTCTACCTAAAAGAATATGCAAATGGATTTTTTCTCACCTGAATTTAATTACCTGTGTGGGCACTTATAGGAAATTTAAAGAGTATGACTAGTGTGATCTGTTAAGATGTCTGCTTTACTGTGAAGTAGGCCACAGCTCACCTTAGTGTTAATTCTTCCTATTTAGTCTGAAGGTAGTTTCAAGGACTAACTTTAAAATTGGTATTTTCTATTTCTGATGTTGAAGGAGAGGTTAATAATACCTTTAAAGTCTGAGAGCATATTTGACATGAGTACTTTTGCTAAAAGTCAGAGTATGCTCTTGAATGTTTAAATCACAAAATAAAGCTTTTCCAATTGCCTTCCATAGCTGTAACCCCTAAAAAGGTATAAATTCAGACAACTTTAAATCTATTCTGACAAAAAAAGGAAAAGGTTTTAGGGTCTTGCAAGTTTTTGTAGGTATTGTTAGGTATTGAAGACTGGAGGATAGCCAATGTCACTCTGGTCTTCAAGAAGGGCAGGAAGGAGGATCATGGAAAGTACAGGCCAGTCAGTCTCACCTCTGTCCCTGGAATGGACCTGATGATCTTCCGAGGTCCCTTCCAACCCCTACGATTCTGTGATTGTTAACTTGGTAGAGAAGAGAGTTCCAGTTAGTTCCCCTCATTAATGAAAAGGCAAGAAAACAATCCGCCATTGGGGGTGGGGGAGGTGCTTGAGCAGTATCTAGGTACCAAGTTAGGTTACATATATCAGTAGACTAGCCATAACATGTTTCTTCCTGACCATAATGTGGGTGGCTATAAGAGAAGATAAAGCTGTTACTGCAGGAAGTCTGGATATAGGGAAGAATAAAGGACACTCATTCTTAGGAAACTTTTTTTTAACTCCACTATTCACAGAAAACTTACTTCTTATATAAGAAGAAAAGCCCCAAGTGTAGTTAATGTAATTAAATGAGAACTGCTTTTTCTGATGCATCCTATTTTCTTTTGGATAATTAATATGAACTTCACAGTCAGTAGAATCCTTTGCTGATATGGGTCTGGCCTAGATGGGGAATTCTTTGCTGATATATCTGTTTCTTGGAATTATTTTCTTGGATAAGGTGGATAATGTGAGATAGTGTTTTAGTAGGCTAGGCCATCAGTTTTACATTTGAAAGGCTTTGTTAGAAGAAAAAGTAAATGTTAATAATGAAAATTTCAGTACTACAGCTTCATACACTGACAGTAGAAAATTTCAAGATGGTAGGCTGTGTGTGTGTGTCCACATAGATATACATATGTACATATAAATATACAAATGTGTGTATACAAGGTTTTTGGGTTTTGTTTTTAATCATTTTGGCTGCTCTCCTGGTTTTTCATAATAAATGATGCCTTTATCTCCATTTAGGTACAGATTTTCTGGCAAGGTGGTATCCACCAGGAAGCACATTTATTCACTTGTGGCTAAACAGTGGCATTCATTTCATTGTAATGATATCAGGTACATGTAAGTCCTCATTTCAGTTCTACATATTTGTAGAATCTTTTATGCATTACTGATTTGAGATTAAAAATAAATGCTTAGATATAGCAGATTTCCTTTGCCATGCCAGTTTGCAGTATTAAGGTTATTTTGGAATCCTTAATTGCCCCTGGAATGTTTAACTTTTCTTTTGCTATACAATCATAACTATAATTTTTTTGAAACACTTTAGTTATCTTCTTCTCTTGGTTGCATTTTTTTTAATTATGCCTGGGTTTGCTTTAAAAAATGCATGTAGTCCTTCTGTCTCCTCACTGTCTTTAACACTTTCCTGGAATGCAATCTCTGACTTTTAGAAGAGGATATTGAATCATGCTTACAAAATGCAACTGTGCAAAAAATACCCTGGTGTAGCACATCTCCTTCCTTGCACCGTGACTGTATGCTGTCAAATCTCATATCAAACAGTCATCCAGCATGTATGCTTTTACTGAACCTCGTTATTGTTGTATGTTTCTTCAGTAAGACAAAGAGACATTCTGCTACTCTCAAGTGCTAAACAGTGTTTGGTGGGCCATTTTATTGATCCATACAGCAGCAAAATGTACTGTAAAAGTGGAACACAGAAGATGGCTCTTATCTATAGTATGAACATGTGCAATAAAATTCATTACTGTGAATTTTATTCAGTACTCAGAAATTTACCATACAGCTAAATAAAAACATCATACGATGGGTGAGCAATTGGCTAATGGGCAGGGCCCAAAGGGTTATGGTGAATGGCGCTGCGTCAGGCTGGCGGACGGTCACTAGTGGGGTCCCTCAAGGCTCCATTTTAGGGCCGGTACTTTTCAATATTTTTATAAACGATCTGGATGTAGGAATAGAAGGTATTTTGAGCAAGTTTGCTGATGACACCAAACTTGGAGGAGTTGTGGACTCGAATGAGGGTGGAAAGGCCTTGCAGAGGGATCTGGATAGGTTGGAGAGCTGGGCGATCGCCAACCGCATGAAGTTCAATAAGAGCAAGTGCCGGGTCCTGCACCTGGGACGGGGAAACCCTGGCTGTACGTACAGACTGGGCGATGAGACAGCTGGAGAGCAGCCTAGAAGAGAGGGATCTGGGGGTCGTGGTAGACAGCAAGTTGAATATGAGCCGGCAGTGTGCCCTGGCAGCCAGGAGGGCCAACCGTGTGCTGGGGTGCATCAAGCACGGCATCGCTAGTAGGTCGAGGGAGGTGATTGTCCCGCTCTACTCTGCGCTGGTGCGGCCTCACCTCGAGTACTGTGTGCAGTTCTGGGCACCACAGTATAAAAAGGACATGAAACTGTTGGAGAGTGTCCAGAGGAGGGCTACGAAGATGGTGAAAGGCCTGGAGGGGAAGACGTACGAGGAACGGCTGAGGGCACTGGGCCTGTTCAGCCTGGAGAAGAGGAGGCTGAGGGGAGACCTCATCGCAGGTCTACAACTTCCTCGTAAGGGGGTGTCGAGAGGCAGGAGACCTTTTCTCCATTAACACCAGTGACAGGACCCGCGGGAACGGGGTTAAGCTGAGGCAGGGGAAGTTTAGGCTTGACATCAGGAGGAAGTTCTTCACAGAGAGAGTGGTTGCACACTGGAACAGGCTCCCCAGGGAAGTGGTCACTGCACCGAGCCTGACTGAATTTAAGAAGAGATTGGACTGTGCACTTAGTCACATGGTCTGAACTTTTGGGTAGACCTGTGCGGTGTCAAGAGTTGGACTTGATGATCCTTAAGGGTCCCTTCCAACTCAGGATATTCTATGATTCTATGATTCTATGACTAAATCATGTTCAAATAGCTAGATGATGGTATTTAGATAATAGTGAAATAAATGTGTAAAAGTCTTCTAGAGGTTTCTTTTAAATTATAAGTATCATAGAAATGTAACTTAATGCACTTGCAACTCTTTTACTTTCCTTCCTGGTTATTAAGTTGTATTTTTTCCTAATATATCAAGGCGGATTAAATTTTTCATATTGTTTCTTCCTAAGATTTCAAAGAAAAATTGTATCTGAGAAAATCATGGATTTTTTTCTTAATAAAGAACTTGAAATTTGTATTTTTGCTATAGCAGATCAGAGAAATACATTAAACAGAACTCTATGTACTTGTATTTCATCTTATATACCTGTACCTTTTCTTTTCTGACGTTGAAAACATAGATATGTTTTCAACGGCTCAGTCTTCAAAATAGGACTATAATTGAAGTTTACAGTTTATTAAAGGAATAGAGGCAAGCAAACAGTGCTGGGTGCGCTGGGAGTCTCTGCTCCACCAAGATGCATACCAGTTATATCAAGCAGCTGATTTTTATGCTCCTAGGCTAATATATATTCATTACTACTTCTAGAAAAAAACAGGGTTATTATAGTTTCTGGAATCCAAACTCAAGGCTTTTGACACTGTTTCGCACAGCATTCTCCTCAAGAATCTGTCTGCTCATGGCTTGAACTGGCATATGCTTCGTTGGGTTAAAAACTGTCTGGATAGCCGGGCCCAAAGTGTTGTGGTGAATGGAGTCAAATCCAATTGGAGGCCGGTCACTAGTGGTGTTCCCCAGAACTTGGTACTGGGGCTGGTCCTCTTTAATATCTTCATCGATGATCTGGATGAGGAGATCGAGTGCACCCTCAGTAAGTTTGCAGATGCCACCAAGTTAGGTGCATGTGTCGATCTGCTCGAGGGTAGGAAGGCTCTGGAGGAGGATCTGGATAGGCTGCACCGATGGGCTGAGGTCAACTGTATGAGTTCAACAAGTACCAGGTCCTGCACCTGGGGCGCAATAACCCCAAGCAGAGCTACAGGCTGGGAGATGAGTGGATGGAAAGCTGCCAGGTGGAGAAGGACCTGGGTGTATTGGTGGATAGTCAGCTACAAATATGAATATGAGCCAGCAGTGTGCTCAGGTGGCCAAGAAGGCCAACAGCATCCTGGCTTGTATAAGAAACAGTGTGTCCAGCAGGTCTAGGGTAGTGATTGTCCCCCTTTACTTGGCTCTGGTGAGGCTGCACCTTGAGTACTATGTTCAGTTTTGGGCCCCTTGCTACAAGAAGGACATCAAAGTGCTTGAAAGAGCCCAGAGAAGGGCGACGAAGCTGGTGAGGGGTCTGGAGAACAAGTCCTATGAGGAGCGGCTGAGGGAGTGAGCTGGGTTTGTTCAGCCTGGAGAAAAGGGGTGCTCAGGGGCGACCTTATCGCTCTTTATAAATACATTAAAGGAGGCTGTAGAGAGGTGGGGATTGGTCTATTCTCCCATGTGCCTAGTGACAGGATGAGGGGGAATGGGCTAAAGTTGTTCCAGGGATGTTTTAGGTTGGGTATTAGGAAGAACTTCTTTACTGATAGGGTTGTGAGGCATTGGAATGGGCTGCCCAGGGAAGTGGTGGAGTCACCAACCCTGGAGGTCTTTAAAAGATGTTTAGATGTTGAACTTAGCAATATAGTTTAGTGGAGGACTTGTTAGTGTTAGGTCAGAGGTTGGACTCGATGATCTTGAGGTCTCTTCCAACCTAGACAATTCTGTGATTCTGTGAAGAACATTAGGAGGAGAGTAGCATTATTTAGTTTTTCTAAATGCATATTCTAAGCACTGCATACTAATCTATGCAATTTAAAGTTCATTTAAACTCTATTATATTGTTTTGCCATCCATGTAGTGTTAGTGTTTGTTAAATAATCTTCATGAACATATTTGCTGGTGGAAGGATGCCTTCCATTCTTTATTTATACATGTATTTATGTCAGTAATAGAATAAGCTTTAGTTTTTATGGCCCTACTTTTAGAGGAGGGTCAAGGACTTGAAAGAAACAGGATTCATGTGACTAGGTGGGACAAAAACAAACAAACAAAAAACAAACAAAAAAACACAAAAACCAAACAAGCCTTTGCAGCAGTCTAGGCAACCTGGAGGGAAGATCTTTCAACTAGGAGTGGTGGGTGGGGGGAGAGTATGACCAACAGTGAAGTGGGAAGTGTTACACCATGTTGGCAAGGTAAGTATGAGGAATGTTGTGGACAGGAGGAACCTTGAAACCAACAAACCAGGGCTGAAGTGAGCACACCCCAGTGTGTCCACATAAAGAGATGCCTACCAGGCAGAACTTACAGGGACAATTCTCATAGTTTCCAAGAAATAAGAACAGCTTGGCAACTCTCTGAACATTTATTGCATGCAGCTGCAGGGAAAAAACAAAATGGAGAAAGGAAAAAAACACACACAAAAAAAAACACAAATAAGAACTAGAGATCTGCATGCAGTTGGAAAGTTAAATTCTGACTGTGATCACAGAGTGGAGTGGTGGTGGTGGGGATGTAGATGTGGGAGCTATCACACAAGACATGACTGCTGAAAAGAGATGAATACAAGCTTTATGGGAAGGTCAGGGAGGGGTGACCCTTTGTGTGAGAGAGCAGTGGGAAAACATGGGGCTATGCCCTAAGGATGGATGATGAAGCAGCTGAGGGTTTGTAGTGCAGAATTAGAAGGCGGTCCAACATGGGCAATGCTGTGGTGGGCATCAATATTCTGAGGAGAAAGAAGTAGCAGATAAGGTCACCTTCAAGCAATAGGAAGAAGTTTTATGTTTATAGGCCCTTGTCCTCATGAGGTACTCTAACAACTTGGGAGAGGCTGGGGGGAGATTCCTGAGCACTTGATGTAAGCAAATCTTGCTGAAGAAAGAGAAGAAGGAGGATATAGGGAATTAAAGACTAGTTATTCTCACCTCAGTGCACAGGAAGGTGGTAGAACAAGTAATCCTGGATGCCATTTTCAAAGGTATGAAGGACAAGATGGTGAGTGGGAGTAGTCAGGATGAACTTGAGGTGGAAGTGATGCTTAACCAACCTGATTAGCCTTGTACAATGAGATGACTGACTTGACAGGCCAGGAGAGAGCAGTGGATATTGTTTATCTTGACTTCAGTAGAACTTCTGTCACCTGTAACATCCTCCTAGGCACCCTAAGAAAACAGATTCAGGCAACTGGACAGTGAGGTTGTGGTGGATTAGCCTTGGCTAACAGCCAAAATCCCACCCAGTTGCTTGCATACTGTTTTCTCATCAGGACGGGAGGAGAAAATAGGAAGAATAGGAATGAGAAAACTTGTGTGTTGAGATGAGGAGTTTGCTTACAATGTTTCAGACAAAACAGGCTCAGTTTAGGGCAAATTAACTTACTTTATTGCAGTTAATGTATAGATTGTTTCTCACTACCAGAATCAGTAACTAAAGACACATATTAGAACAAGAATTTTTCTCCCACCTCCCAGGCTGAAATTCATTTCTTCACTCCAGATTCCTCCACCTAGTTCCAGTGTGGGTAGGGCTTTACAGTCAGTACACAGCAGTTTCTCTCTTACTTCTCATTCTCACATTTTTGCTCTGCTCTGACATGTTCTCCATGGGCTCACCATTTGATGAAGCCCAATATTCTCCAGCTTTGGCGAGCAGAGGGAATGTTAGCTGTCACCAGGACAATGCAAACAAGTCTGTCTTAATTCTGAGACTAGCGTGATTCTACCCTTCATTGAGATTAAAGTTGAGGAAGGGGATGTTCCACAAAGAGCAAGACCAGGCTGAACTGGAAGACCAGTTGTTACATTCTTGATATGCTGAACAAACAGCTGGACACAACTGCCTCATTTACTTTGATC